TCCCGGGCAGGGAAAGTCCTCGACTTACGACCGGTTGGGTAGTCCTCGACTTACGACTGGTTTAGTCCTCGACTTACGACCGGTTTAGTCCTCGACTTACGACCGGTTGGGGTCACGGCATTAAAAAGGTTGAGAACCACTGGGTTGGCTATAGATGAGACATAAAGACATATGTGGTTAGCTGTAGCAGAGCTTCAAATGTAACGCCTTTGTGCGACCGACAAATGAACTTGCGGTTTGACATGTTTCATTTCCTTTTGTTCTCCTTCTAATACACGCATTTAAGACTCATGTCCTGTTTTATGACTTAAGTCCTGCTTTATGTCCTGTAATACACGTATTTAAGTCTCATGTTCCGCTTTGTGACTTACCATGTCTTGTTTCATGACGTATGTCCTGCCTTAATACCGTTTACGCGCGATTTCCCCCCAGGTCTCGCCTTGACTTCCTCTACTAAAAGTTTCCTTTGGAGACGACGCCTGTTTCAAGAGTTCTGCTTTCTTGGGGGGGGGGGGTTAGCTGAGGTGGGTCCTTACAGGACCTATCCATCGCTGGGTGATGTTGCAGTTCTGACCGGGTGATGGTGGGGTCTGCTACGAGCTGGCTCAACCCTCTCCCACACACATACCTTGGCCCTTATCCCCGGGGCACACCTGGAGAGGGGATTCAGGGCCCACCTGGGTTGGGCAGCCCAAAAGAGAGAGGGGGGTGGCCCCCAGAAGGGAATGTCCGCTTCCTGGGCCCCTGGGTTTGGTTGGGCCTTGTCGCCAGCTTTGGGGGAGACCCCACATTCTGACCCAGCCCTTGAGTATCGTCAACTCGTTCCGTGCCCCCCTCCGACAGGACGATTGGACAACGTCCCCCTTCCCCTCGGCCTTTTGAGCCCATCAAGACATGGAGATGGTTAGGCTGAGTGGACCCACCTCAACCATCTTCCCAACTCATCCCCCCCCCCAAAAGCCCCCACACAGCCACATTCATAGGCAAGGAACAATTGCTATCCTGTCTCCCCTATGTCTTCTTTTCTTTAGACTGGCCAAACCCAAGTCCTGCAGCCGTTCTTCGTATGTTTTAGTCTCCGGGCCTTTGCTCTTCTCTGAACTTTTTCCAAACTCTCCACATCTTTTTTGTGATGTGGCGAGACAAAATTGGCTGCAGTATTCCAGGTGTGGCCTCACTAGGGTTTTTATAAAGCGGTGCTAAGACTTCGTGTGATCTTGAATCTATGCCTTTGTTTACACAACCCAGGATTGTATGAGCTTTTTGGGCTGCTGCTGCACACAGCTGGCTCGTGGTCAAGGGATGGTCCACTGCCGGGGAGTAGAGTAGAGTAAGAGTGGAGTGGAGTGGAATAGAATGGAATAGAATAGAACAGAACAGAACAGAACAGAACAGAACAGAACAGAACAGAACAGAATATGGAATATGGTCCCTTCCAATTCCTTATTCTATGATTTCCTGCTTGAGCAGAGGGCTGGACTAGATGACCTGCAAGGTCCATTCCCACTCTGTTCTGTGATTCTATAAGGGTCTCCTGCTCGAGCACGGGGTTGGATTAGATGACCTCCAAGGTCCCTTCCAGCTCTATTCTGTTCTGTTCTGTTCTGTTCTATTCTATATAATTCCATTCCATTCCGTAATTCTATTCTATTCTATTCTGTTCTGTTCCGTTCCGTTCCGTTCCATTCCATTCCATTCCATTCCATTCTATTCTATTCTATTCTATTCTATTCTATTCTATTCCATTCCGTAATTCTATTCTATTCTATTCTGTTCTGTTCTGTTCCGTTCCGTTCCGTTCCATTCCATTCCATTCTATTCTATTCTATTCTATTCTATTCTATTCTATTCTATTATATCCCATTCCGTAATTCTATTCTATTCTATTCTATTCTATTGTATTCTATTCTATTCTATTCTATTCTTCCCTTCAGAAATCGCAGCTGCTCCATCACTGGAGATTTTTAAGGAGGCTGGACCATCACCTGTCTGAGACGGTATAGGTTCTCCAGCTCGAGCAGGGGGCTGGACTAGAAGACCTCCAAGGTCCCTTCAAACCCTGTGATTCTGTAAGGGTCTCCTGCTTAAACAGAGGGCTGGGCTAGATGACCCCCAAAGTCCCTTCCAACTCTGTCATTCTGTCATTCTCCTCAAGTACAGGGTTGGACTAGAACAGTGGTCCCCAACCTGTGGGCTGCAGCCCATTACCGGGCCATGGCCTTTTGGCCACCGGGTCCCGTGAGTAGCTGGACTGTGCACGCACCCATGTGCGCGTGCTCACCCCCTCTCGTTCCAACATTGCTGCTACTATCACGCAGGCCGTGGCGTGAGCCTCGCGCCGGGTTGGCGCCGGTACGATCCTCGCGCCGGTAGTCGTATCATCGCACGCCTGGCATCATCGTCGTCACAAGCCTCACACAGATACCGGCGTCGCTGAGAGTGGCATGGCGCACACACTCGTGGCCTGTGTGTGTGCACACGTAGGTGCACGTGTAGCCATAATTCATGTTTGCACACCCGCGCATAAAGCGCCTGCCCCTCCCTCTCCCACCGGGCCGCCAACCCAGGAAGGTTGGGTACCCCTGGCTTAAGCGATGGAAACCCGTGAGAAAATATATGCCGAGCTCAAAATGTGTCAGGCTCACCCCAATTTAGACCTTTCAGAAAGAAACACCCTCGACTCCGTTCCTTGACACGAAAGCTTCTCTTCCTAAAATCCAGCAGTTTAAGCAAAGCTGGATCTGAGCATTCCCGTGCAAAGTTTGCCTTTCCCCCCCTTTCCCTGTTCCGCCCCCCAACCCCCTGCCCTTGATCAGTCCATCAGTGTCCAATCGTCATTCCCCCCCTCCCAATTTCCCTTGACATACACATACAGGTATGGATTGCCCCATCCTCCAGTGACAAATGGCAGAGCTGATCGACACAACCGCAGGGTCCCTTTCTAAAACAGCCTGAGAACTTTTAATTGGACATGGACTGATAACACAGGGAGAGGGAGGGGTTGGCCAGGGGAAAAGGGAAAGTTCATGGCATCGTCGTGGCGCCAAGCCAACAGATTCTGCCTGCTCTGATCCAGCACCCCCCCTCCCGACAACCTTTTGGGCAGCGGGGACCGCTTCCGTGGAGAGAGGTTTTACTGCAGACCAGAAGGAGTGTTTGGCTTCACGTGTTGCCTGCGTCTCCGCAGATGGGATTCCACTTGTTTGTGCGGACCGGTTTCTGGCACGCCGCGGCCTGGTACCGGTCCACATTGGGTGGTTGGGGACCCCTGTTCTAATCTGTAACCCTTTTGTTTTCAGTAAAGTATAACCTGGGGGGGGAAACGAGGAGTCTTTTTTTTTGCTAATTGGACTAACTGGGAAGGATGACAAACACGCTGAATTCCCCTCGTGTGTACCGAACAGACGTCACCCACCTGGGATTATCTCAGCTTAAGGGGGAAATGCCCCTTTGATACTGGTGAAACTGGGTTGGACTGGGGCGAAGGCAAGGACATGGGGCCAGGCTATGGGGCAGGATCCTGGTGCCCTTGAGAAGATGGAGGAGGATCTTTAAAGATAAGGACTCGCTTCTCTCGCTGGACCCCAGGAAAGGCAGGGACGACCCCCCAGCTGACCCCTCACCCCCAGGCCCATTTCAGCAGTCAAAGGCAAAGGAGAAGCAGAGACGACACCAGATCTGCAAGTCTGCCATTGTTTATTTCTCGAAGAAAGAAAAGGGAATTACGAACCAAGCCGTTTCTGGATTTTGCGGCAAAATGAAGTCGTACTTCAAACATGTGCGGGGGGAAAAAACCAGCGAAACACTGCGACAAATCCCTTTTTTGTGACAGCATACACATTTCACAGGATGGAATACTCATTTCTGCACCCACAACAGGCCGATCGGCATGAAAAGAGGAGCAGGTTGATGAGTCGTCTACACAGCTTTCGGTTCTGCTCGACGAAGATCCTGACGTGCTCGTCCAGTAGGCTGGGCTCCCCGTACAGCCGGTTGACGTAGTAGCACTCCCGGTTCTCGGAAACGACGCTCTGCACCATCACCATCAGCTCCGAGACCTGCCTCTGCTGCTCGGTTCCCGCAGCCTTGTTGTCGAACCCGCAAAAGCGGTTCCCACACCGCCGGATCAGGTCCCGCAGATTCCGGTTGTCGGACTTTTGGACGTACTCCTGCAGGGAGGCCCCTCCCAAATCCTCCAGGCAGGTGAAGAGGACGATGGTGTGCCTGGCGGACTCGGCCCCAAAGATATCCCAGACACAGTTTGCGGCAGCCGCATCTTCCGCGGTGAAGCGCCCCACCTGGGTCACCAAGATCAGGGCGTGGGGGCCGGGCCGGGAGAGTTCAATGCAAGCCATGATCTCACGTCGCACAATCTCATTGTAGTTTGCAGAATCGAAAATGCCTGGCGTGTCAACCACGGAGACCTTCCCGCCCTGCCAGGTTCCCTGCCCCCTTTCGCACCTCAGGGTGGTGGCCTTTGGCCCCAAGGTGGACTCGAACACTTTCCGGTCGAGGATGGTGTTGCCCGTGGCGCTCTTCCCGCCTCTGGTCTTCCCCACCAGGATCAGCCGGAGTTCCTCCCCTGGGAGTTTGAAAGACAAAGTTACACAAAGGAATTGAGAGATTTCCCACGTGCCCAGGAGGGACGTCAGAAGACAACATTAGAGAAAGACTGACGTCCATGGAGCCTTGATACACCCTTCCTTCCTTCCTTCCTTCCNCCTTCCTCCCTCCCTCCCTCCCTCCCACCTTTCTTTCTTTCTTTCTTTCTTTCTTTCTCTCTCTCTCTTTCTCCTCTCCTCTCCCATCCCCTCCCCCTCTCTCTCCCCTTTCCTTTCTTTCTCTTTCTTTTTCTCTTTCCCTTCTCTTCCCTTCTCCCTCCCTTCCCTTTCTTTCTTTCTTTCTTTCTATCTGTCTTTCTTTCTTTCTGTCTTTCTTTCCTTCCTTTTTCTTTCTTTCCTTCCTTCCTCCCTCCCTCCCTCCCACCTTTCTTTCTTTCTTTCTTTCTTTCTTTCTTTCTTTCTTTCTTTCTTTCTTTCTTTCTTTCTTTCTTTCTTTCTTTCCTTTCTTCCTTCCTTTCTTTCTTTCCTCCCTCCCTCCCTCCCACCTTTCTTTGAGGCTGGGGAGGGGGGTCCTCCCGCTCCAATTGGGTCCCCCCCACCCACCCTCTTTTCAGAAACAGCGCCCGAAAGGAAAGGAAGGACGGAGCAAGCTTTTTCCCCCCCCCCGGGAGGGGGGAGGATCCGGCGCTGGTTGCCCCCCTCCCTTTCCCGGGCGGGGGTCGCCCCCTCCCCTCCCCTCTCCCGGTGGGCTTCAGTGTGTGTGGGGGGGTCCGTTCCTGTTCAAAGCCAGCCCTGCGCCTTGGGGGGGGGTCGGGAGACCCAGCGAAGGAAGACCCCCGACCCTAAACGGGGGCAGACCCCTTTCCTGGGGGAGGGAGGGAGGGAGGAAGGGGGGGTCTCCCCCCCGGCCCCCTCCTGCACCCCTCTCCAAGAAAGGGAAAGTGGAGGGGCGATCCACGGGAGGAATGGATCCCTCTCTCAAACGGGGACGGAATCCCGTCTCGGAGGCAGCCTGCATGGGGCGGCGGACCCCTTTCCTGGGGGGGGTCGTCTCACCGGCCCCTCCCGCCCTGGGGATTCAGGGGCTGGGGTTCAGGGGGTCCCCCTTGATCCCCTGATTAAGAAATTGGGCAAGGCTGACAACGGCAGAGAGCGAAGGACTGGCAGGGCCACTTGGGGGGGGGGAGATCGCTGGAGGGGGGGGGTCAGGGCTGGTCCGAGTCAGTTCTGCTCGGGGGGGGGGTGAGGGAGGATGCTGGGCCTTTGAGGGTCTCCCTGGAATCCTGGGGCAGCCAGCCCGGATCCCCCCCCCTCTTTGCTTGGAGCAGGGGGCTGGACTAGAGGACCTCCGAGGTCCCTTCCCACTTTTTTTTTATTCTGCGATTGTTTCAGGGTCGTCCTGCTCGAGCAAGGGGTTGGACTAGATGACCTCCGAGGTCCCTTTCAACTCAGTGATCCTGTCAGGGTCGTCCTGCTTGAGCAGGGGGCTGGTCTAGATGACCTCCGAGGTCCCCTCCAGCTCTTCTATTCTGTGATTCTATCAAAGTCTCCTGCTCGAGCAGGGGGCTGGACTAGATGACCTCCGAGGTCCCTTTCAACAGTGATTCTGTAAGGGTCTCCCGCTCAAGCAGGGGGCTGGTCTAGATGACCTCCGAGGTCCCCTCCAGCTCTTCTATTCTGTGATTCTATCAGGGTCTCTTGCTCGAGCAGCGGGTTGGACTAGATGACCTCCGAGGTCCCTTCCAACTCACTGATTCTGTAAGGGTCTGCCGCTCGAGCAGGGGGCTGGTCTAGATGACCTCCGAGGTCCCCTCCAGCTCCTCTATTCTGTGATTCTATCAGGTTCCTGGCCCGCCTGACCGGCCCCAACAGACCCACATTGGGGGCCCACCTGCCGCAGAGAGGGGCGGGGGGGGAGGGTCACGTGGGGGCAGTCTTTTGTGGGGGGGGAGAGGGGTTGCTCACCTCT